TGAGGACAGTGGACTGGACAACCGGTTGTAGTAGCCACATACCACGTGCTCGGTCGTAGACATCATTCCTCTTGTTCTCCTCTCTTGACCACATTTTCAATGCCCTCATCCGACCGCTACACGTGTTAAGCCATGCTCCCAGTTAGGGCTGCAGGAGTTGCGTCTTTTCCTTTCCTGAACTTATATTTCTCTCTCTCTCTCTTTCTGTCATGCGCTAACACAAAGCGAAAGGCAAGGAACAGTCGGTGAATATCCGATGCTCGCTCTGTCAGGGTTTTTCATTGCTATCGAGAAGCTTTAACCATAGTGCTTTAACCATGGCAGCCGCCACTGCGTACCGGTGCGCCATCTGGGGTGCCTTGATCTAGCTGCGTCATGCCGCACTACTTCTCTTGAGCACTCACAGACGCCGCCACCACCCCGCTTCACCAACAGAGAGCACGGTGTCAGAGTGTTAGAAAGATATACCAACAAAGAGCACGGCGAGATAAAAAAATGTGAAAGATATGCCAACAGAGCACGGTGCGAGAGAATGCGTGAGAGATATAAGGCACGTTAGTACAGACTCAGTCGGTAGAGCGCCCAGCGCTTTTTGTGGCTTTTTAAGCAGCAAGATGTTCGAAGGCCGGGGGGGGGGGAGCTTTTGCTTGTATGTTATTTATCGGTAATGTCAATTTCATTAGAATTTTACGAGCTGAAACTATATAAATAGATATATTGAAAGGACTGAGTATAAGAGGCGGCGACCTTTTTAGTTTGCAAATGGCTTCTTGGGATAACTTTTTGTCGTATCTCTGACAAAATACATCCATAATTTCCTGGTGGACTCCAGCCTAAAACACTTTCGTGTTAAATGAGCATCAGTACAAAACCACTGTTTGTGGAGTGCTTCAACACGCAAAACTAATTTCGCTGTAAGTAATGCATCAAGAAGGGCATTCAGCGAAAAAATTTAGCGGCCACTTCACTTTGTGAAGCTCGATGGCTTGTGCAACTGTTGGACACATGACACAAACATGACGTGTTGGTTGTCACTTGTGTATGGAAGGTCAACTTGTTATAATGCGCACCAACGTTTTATGCACGGTGCTGTCTACCGCCACTCATGGATGATCACAACGCGTTTGATTTTATCACTAGGCTTCACTGCATCACGCAATGTGAGTAACACAGCGAACAAGGGCCATAGCTTTGCACATCTACCTAATATTCAGGTTACTTCTGCAGTGAAGTAAGCAACTGACGGGTATATATTACACGCACAATAAAGCTGATCTTATGTTGAAATATTCAGACACAAGGACGCCTTTTTGTACTGGAGTAATATTGTGGTAGCTCTCACTTTTGCGCTGGGAGTTTTTAATGCAGTGGCAGTGAGGAAATGTTCTGTGCCCTTTCTCACGTTTGCGGGCAAACCCTAGCTGTAATGGCTGTTATACCATAAAAATAAATTCTTAAACATGCTTTCGTGAAAATATGTAACATATTTGAATTATCACGAAATAAAATTTAAACGAATGAATACGAAAGTACTATCGGCTAGTAAATAGGCACTGTAGCACTCCACACATTGTATTTGCAAAAAAAAAACAAGCTGATGCAAATTTTAAGTGTGTGCAACTTTAATCAGGACTAACAATCTTTCAAGCCAAGCAAAGTATAAGGGATGCTATACGTAATAATAAAGTATGAAATGATGAAATATAAAGGGAAAAAGATGGCTTTCCACCGGTAGTGAGGCAATCTGCAATTTTAGCTTAACGCGTCTAATGCTCTTTTATTTGAGCTACCTACAATGGTCGTCCACCTATCCACCTTTTGGTCTTATTCGTATCAAACCTTGCGAGTGTTAATGAGCGCCACCCTTAAGCATATGAATACTGAACGCCTTTCAGCCAGCTGAAGTCATGTATTACGGGATGCTTTCAGGAACAGACAGCTGACGAATAACCCACCTCTTACTTCCTGAATAACCTGAGCCTCAAAAAGAACACCTTGTTATGTATCAAGAAAATGTGAGGGCTCATTTTCTTTTTTTTGTGTGTGTGTGAAGCAACTATTTGACTCACGTGTGTAACGCCGTACGTACGTGCGTCCGTATGAACGCGCCGCAACGCGTTCCCCTCACCGCAGGTGTTCACATGCTTTTCTCAACGGTAAGAGTTAACGTCACTCTCTCCCTTAACCGCAGCACGTTCGCCGCAGCGGCCACCCGCTTGCAACACAGTTCTCTCTTGCTTTACCCTCTCCACCGTCAGCAACGCTTGACCGCACGTGTAGTGGGAACACTCCTTTTTCTGGTTTATCTGCGACAAGACTTAAAGAAACCCAACCTACCAGTTATTATTGTTTGACTAACCATTAAAACCGCACATGCATGGTGCCCACGACGTCATAGATTATCATAAATTTGTGCAGTGAGGAAGCGTCCACAATGCCTTTATTCGCCGTTCTGAAAAGTGTAGTACCCCACTACCACGCAGCTTGTAGACTGTAAAGCGAGTTATTTGAAGTTGGCAGATTCGGTCTCTCGCGGCGGCAAGTTGCATTTTCCTACTCTGTAATTTCCTCACGTTTATATCATGATTACTACATCTAAGATATCGTATTGTTTCTTACAGTTTATGATCTCTCGGTTTTGAATGGCGTCAACTTTCGCAAAGAGAATGGGCAAATAAACTTTCTTCCTTCGTTCATCCATCTGCATGTACAGACATTTCTAGAAGTATGCAATGATTTACGGTCAAGAAAAATACCTGAACGAACGAGTTACAATAGAAGGCGTAAGCAAGAGTTTAGAAACAACTTAAGCACATGTGTGTTGTGAAATCGGCATCTATAAGAAGAACCCCCCATCTATACATGCTCTATGTCAATCTCGGAATGGCATATCAGCGCGTAAAAACGCACTATTTCTACTCCTAAAAGTAACACATTGATGGCCCATAAGCTTTGTGGATACTTCAACCCAATGCAATTCATCTAAAAATATTGATCTTTATATACCTGCGTATTATACCCACAGAGACGAAACAAAAGCTCGCAGGATAGAACACAAAGTAATACATATTCATAAATATCGAGTATGAGTACAAATTATTGCTCTACTGTCCTGTTACATTTGGTTGAATGAAGCTACGAAGCGTTAAAAGAAGTAAGCGCAGCTGGTCGAAAGAATACAAGTAGCAGTGATGTGGTGTTGTCGACGTCGTTTAAGGCAATTTAATCAAATAAATAAAAAAACTTGGACCATCTCCCTGAACGGAACCTTGATGGGATGCGAAGCAGCGACGTTGCGCACGGGTGGCGTCATGAATGGAACAGCCCTGACGCGGGAGGTCTGCGGTGAGTGCTGGAATATTCGTTTGCAGCGATGGCTGGAGTAGGTCTCGTAGGTGACACGTACAGGCATGTTTCAACGCGTACGTTAGGCGCGCGTCAGGTTTATTGCACATGAACTGACGAGTTGATGGTGTAGCGAGCGGTGGTTGTGGCAGGTTTTGTGGGCGAAGAATTGAGGCGGCAGCTGCGGGTGCCGCAGTGAGCTCGTGGTAGGCGAGGGAAAGATTGAGGTCAGTACGAACTCCAAGAGAAGCGTGACGTCAACGCGCAGCAGTGGCATGACCTACTTGGCACCACGCCAACACCCGGCCGCCCAGCTCGTTTGCAAGGAGAGACAGCGTTACAGAGGCTAGACAAAGCTATTTCGCGTGCAGATAAACATTCCAAGAGGCTATTCTCTAATCAAAGGGTTGCGGCCTGCTATATTCTGATCTTTCCATATCTTATTCTATCGTTCAAACTTCACTGTGCTGCTGCCATTTTCTACCAAATGTACTCTGTAATTGCCACAGAAACTGTAGAAATCCATAGTGACAGCTCTGTTGTCATCTTCTTGCCCTTTTAGTACTGCATGATTTCCTGCTATGCTCTGCGAGCGGTGGCGTTAAAAACATGGCATGTCATTTCACTGTGAGTAAACTTGAATACTTGCGCAAGAAAACGGGTGCTGACATAGCAGAAATATGTTGGGCAGTCAAGGTCAGTATGTGGCCACGTACTATCATGTACTACAGGTACCACTTATATAAGATAAAATTTGAAGTCAGCACAATGTCTTGAGCACCAATATTAATAAATAGCAGCGCTGTTTCTCTGGACATACGGAAAATTCAGGGAAGAATCATTACTAAAAAAATTCATGTCAAGACTTCAGCTTAGGCGAATCAGTTTAACTCCTGTGACGTCCACCAGACACTCAGTAGTGCGGGCAACCGTGATCCTTCTACCCAGGTCTAGCTCAAGGGATTCTAACCACCAACCTTTCGCGACACTTCGGGCGCACATCTCCTGCAACCTCCTGCAGTTTTTTTTTCCTTCCGCATGCATGCCTGGTCGCCTCGTATTCAAGCCCGTGGTCACCTTCACTTTTGCTCAAGTTAACTCGCGGTGCATCTTCGTGACCACTTTGCGCAATATTCGCCTAGGCTTAAATGCACTTTTGAACATACATGACAAATAGGGGAATAATCACTAATATGTAAGCATATAATCACCAGTTATATTATTGACATACGACATGATTCAGTCGCAGTAAGAACTTAAGCACAAATATAACAAAAACAACAAAACATCCCAAATAATTAGCTTGTTTTACAAGTAACAATACTATTTTGTAACAATATGATGAAGTCTACGAACATCGTGATTGAGTTAGTCACATTTGCAACGGCCATTTTACAAGACATACCTATTACAAGGTTACAATAACTTTGTATGATGTAATTTAGCAGCGTTCACTCGCTGCAATAGAAGCAATGAGACATGGTGAATATTGGTGGCATGCTGGGTAAAAAAAAAGACCTTCATCGCTATTTTTCTTCTCAGTAGTGTTTTTTTTTGTCTACAAACTTGAATTGGCTCAATAAATGCACCAAGCACAACTTTCGAGTTTTATAATGATCCACTGCATCTGTTTACAACAGATTCTTGCGGGGGACCTATCATTATATATATTTACATTTCTGGCGGCAACCATTCTTCACGGACTTGTTGTGCTACCAGGACTATACCTGGCGATTACGAGAGGAAAACTGGGTTCTTTTTTTAGAAACATGATACAACCGATATCCATGGCTTTAGGGCTAGCCTCCAGGTAAGTGCTAAGTAGACGCCCAAAGTGCATACATGCACTTTTTTATGTGAGTGGATTCATAAAGGCTGATTAAAAGCTCCGTAAAAGCGAGCAGGACGTTTAGAGGAACAAATAAAAACATTATGCAAATTGAGGAAAGGCATTTGTTAGTGTATAATGCTATTTGCTATCAGAACGTGTGCGTGCATAATGTACCATGGGCATATATTAAGACATGTGCATGATCGCGCTAGTTGGTAGACAATGATTTATCCTTAGCGCAAAAAGGTGGTTCAAGTACGTTTGTTCGAAAGGAGGGAGACCATGTGTGGGTCGCATTCTCCTTGTTCGTGTTTCAAAACATTTTTGTTGCGCTACGAACAAATCATTTAGGTGTTGACGAAGAAACGCTGTGTCTACACATCATTTGTGCAAGTGCAGTCATGGTTCCATAGCCGTTCCAGTTTCAATGAGAGCAACAACTATTAATTGTATGCCGGTGTAAAAAATTTCAATAGAAAGAACGTGAATAAACCATCTGAACAAGAGAAAGTTTCTGTATGAAGGCATGATTGGTTTTGAAGCAAATGATCGTGCAATGCACCTTTACGATGCATTCATGTTATGTGAATCTTCGTGCCAACATATCGCATTCAAACAAAGCTGCGCTCAGAAAGCCAACAGAAAGAAGTCACTGAAAGCCGAGAAATCAGTGAAGTGATACCATTGAAAGTGCCATGTGATTTTCACGGTGCAAAATGCAAAACGGGGTTCCTAAATGTCGGGCGCATCATGGGGGGACTTTTGCGTGGTAAAGTAGGCAACACTCTAAGTCCAGCGAAAGTGTAATAACAGAAGTGGGTTACTGACAATCTTACCTGAGCAAAAGCGAGTTAAAGTTTGAAGACGTGGCATTTAGGATTTCAACGTTATCACGTGTGGTGACGTTAGCCCCAGATAAAACTGTTTTTTCGCGCTCATATAAAAAACTATTAAAATATTGGTAACATTGTGAGACAACATACTGCAACCGGCGCAAGACAGTGATTACACGAGAAGTTGGCTGGTCACACAAAATTAGGAAACGAATGGGCTATTTACACAGAAGTGACCCAAAAGGGGTAAAGTGTGCTTATCGCCAATATGGTGTGTCGTATACATCTCCATGAAATGAAATCAACAGTCACGTGGTTGATTTGATTTGATTTGAAGGGTTTAACATCCCAAAATCAGCAAATGATGATGAGAGACGCCGTAGTGGAGGCCTCCGGAACTTTCGACCACCTAGGGTCCTTTGACGTGCACCCAAATCTGAGTACACGGGCCTACAGCATTTCCCCCTTCATCGGAAATGCAGCCGCCACAGCCTGGATTTGATCCAGCGACCTGCGAGTCAGCAGCCAAGCACCTTAGCCACTGGACCACTGCGGCGGGCCAACAGTCACGTGGTATCCGTACCTTGCGAGCAAATGGGAACAGGACACCACAGGCGTGCCATTGACAGCAATAGACAACTCATTGCGGGAATCGCGTAACCTTTCATTGAAAAACTTGTATATTTCCTCTTGATAGCACATTCTCTCCTGAAATTAAATCAAGTTGCCAGCAACATGAGGACAAATGTGGGACATATTCTTAATATTTCGTACTAAAAATATATACTTGCGTACCTTTCCGGCAGCGCAATATAATTATGATTATTCGATCACTTCACTGACGAAAATAGCAATCAGCTCATTTGTTTTGCTTTATATATTGTCTTATGAGTTTGTTGACTTGTGTACTTCTGTTAACATCTGTACATCTGTCGTTCTGGTAACATATGTATAGATATCAACTTCTGTGCCTGCTGGTAAATTTTCAAATAGGCGTCCGGTAAGCCTGAGTTTCAGTTATTCGATCCATGATGAAATCGAAAGGTGCGATGTCATCATCATCAGCCTAACTACGTCTACTGCAGAACAATTGCTTCTTTCATGTTCCGCCAGTCAACTTGGTCCTATGCTTGCTGCTGCCATTTTAAAACCGCAAACTTCTTAATCTCATCGGTCCACCTAACTTTCTGCCTTTTACTAATTCGCTTGCCTTCTCTGGGATTCAAGTCAGTAACCCTTAATGACCGGTGGTTATCCTGGCTACTCGCTACATGCCCGTCCCATGTCCATTTCATCTTGATATTTACTCTGATATCCTTAACGTCGGTGTGTTCCCTGATCCACTCTGCTCTCTTTTTGCCTCTTAAAGTTAAACCTACAACTTTCCTCTTCATTGCTCGATGCGTGTCCTCAATTTAGGCAGAACCATCTTTGTAAGCCTGCAGGTTTATGCTACATATAAGTACCGGTAAGATGCAGCTGTTATATACCTTCCTCTTGAGGAATAGTGGCAATCTGCCTGTCATTATTTGAGAGTGCTTGCCAAATGTGTTCCACCCCATTTTTATTCTTCTAGTTACTTCAATCTCGTGGTTTTGCTCCATGGTTGCTACCTGTTTTCAGTAGGCAAATTTTTGCAATTGTTTGGGGTTTAACGTCCCAAAACCACCATATGTATTTGAGAGACGCCGTAGTGGAGCGCTCCGGAAATTTCGACCACCTGGGGTTTTTTACCGTGCACCAAAATCTGAGCACGTGGGCTTACAGCATTTCCGCCTCCATCGAAACTGCAGCCGCCGAAGCCGGTATTTTATCCCGTGACCTGCGGGTCAGCAGCCGAGTATCTTTGCCACTAGAACACCACGGCGGGGCGGTAAACATAATCATCTAAAACTTCTAGTGTGCTATTAGCGATCTCGAAGCGTTGTTCTCTTCGGAGGATGTTGTACAAGACTTTTGTTTTTTCTAAATAAATGTTTAGTCCTACGTTTGTGCTCTCCTTGTCTAACTACGTAATCATGAGTGGAAATTCATCTCCATAGTTTCTCAGCAATACAGTGTCATCGGCGAAGCGCAGAATAATAAGGTACTCATCATTAACTCATACCCCTAACTCTTGCCATTCTAGGCCTCTTAAAACCTCCTGTAAGCACGTGGTCAATAGCAGTAGGAAGATTGTATCCCCCTGCCTCACACCTTCTTTCATTTGTGTTCCGTTGCTTTCTTTAGAAAGCACTATGGTAGCAGTTGATTCTCTGTAGATTTCTTCCAAGATGTTCATGTAGGCTTCGTCAACGCCCGGATTCCGCAGTGCCTACAATACTGCTGATATTTCTACTTAATCAAGTTTCTTCTCATAATGTATGAAAGCTGTGTATAAGGTAGGCTGCCGTCTGAGCATTTCTCTATTACCTGATTGATAGTATGATTGTCGTTGATTGTGGAGTAGCCTGTTCCAAATCCTGCTTGTTTCTTTGGTTGATCGAATTATAATGTTGCCCTAAATGTGTTAGCGATTACCTTTGTAAATAGCTTGTATACAACGAAGAGCAAGCTAATCTGCCTGTAATTCTTCAAGTCCTTGTCGTCTCTTTTCTTATGTACACAAAGATGGGATATATGTAACAAGATTACATGGTCCATGATATTGATTTGTCCGTCTGGTTTCATTCCCAGCTCACAAACGGTGCCTGCTTTGATAGTTGCGCTAGAAGAAGGACTGCAGATGGATCCGCGAATGGCCAGGTTCCTTGGTCCTGTCGGCTCCACTGTGAACATGGATGGCACTACTATTTACCTGACCATTACACTTATATTCTTTGCCCAAAAGGATGCCATGTCACTTGGTGTTCTTCAGTATATCACCATTGGGTAAGCAATTTGCAAGAAGAGCAAGCATTAAGAGGTTCAAAATGCTTTCTTTGTGTATGTGCACAATTAGTCTGATTTGTAGACAACGCTTTACGGGCACCGAATTCAACAAAAATAGGAAAGAAAGTACTATTGGTGCAAGTGCCGACTTCGAAGTGCTCAAAGTGACTGCGTGTCCTTTAGTAGCAGCTTCACATCGTTTTCATGTTGGAATTAGCATGCTAAAGTATTTACGTATTACCATAACAAAAACACTTAGGTAGGACCTACGTATAGAAAAAATTTGTGCCACAGCGTTTAAACAACTTGCACTTTTACGAAAAAAACGGAGGAAACATTGGCCCTCATTGAAATGAATAGCTTACAAGGTTCCTATTAGACCTACGTTAGAATAACCAAACCAGATTAGAAATCGCATAAAAGATATTTCTGCCTCGCTTTAGAAAAATTTCAAAGCACATCTTTCAGGTTCATATACACAAAGTATTCCAGGTGTGACCGCAAATAGTATGGCGTTCTGCCGCTAGTAAACAGTAGACACACTACAAACACGAAGACGTTGACTTGGCCGAGATTGGTTTCCATTTTTACAATCCAGCCCTCTTGAATTAAACTAAGCGCACTTAAAAATATACATATACTCCACTTGGAATAGAGGTGGCAACAACAACCGTCTACGTGTAGCCCACTAATTAAAGGACCACGCTTGGCTAAGGGAACATGAGGAAGTGCCAGCCACGTGATTGTGTTCGTATATGCAATGTGCGTTTTTTACTAGCGGCAGAATGGAATACAGATACCAAAATATCAACTAAGCCAAGAAGACATTCTTCTCAAGGACATGACCGCGTAACCACGCTTCGTACAGAGGCAGGCATACATACAGTGGTTTGCTGGAGGAAGGTAAATTATTTGAAATTTGTTTTCTGTTCATAACAACATGACAATGTTAACCAGTTTAAAAAAACTTGGGGCCCCTCGGTCGTTGTTTCAGTAGAACCAACCATGTTACATGTATTACGCTAAGTTTGTCGCGTTGCCACACACTATTTTGGGGCGAAGCTCCTTAGGGTGGGGGCCATGCTCTCCAACATTCGTAGGTAGTGTCTATGTAGCCACCTGTTGTTAAGATCACTAGATTGCGTTAGGTGTATATGTCATTCCAAATAATATCACTAGATTGCGTTAATATATAGTTTTTAAAGTGTTGACGAATAACGAGGATATATGGTGCTGTTATTGCAAGATATATACTATTTTCAAGCAATCCCACACCGCTCCGCGGGCACGCGGAGCACTATAGGAAAAGTGGGTACGCCGAGAGAACCGTGGTTGTTCCTCCGTCCGCTGCTCATTGGCGACGTGCTAGCATAAAACGAAAAAAAAAACAAGCCGCCGCTTGTTGAAGAGGGTTCAAACACACCTGCATGTTTATCTAAGCATGAAATGGGGAATTAATAACGCAGTCAGAGTGGGTATCACTGGATGGGTGTACATTGAACGTAGAAGATGAGCGGCCTGCGAGTTCTCGCGTACCCATACATGTGGTCAAAACATGCTATAGTGAGGAATGTGAGCGGGAACACGAATTGATAGTTATTCAACGACAAACTGCCCATAAAGCGCTATTTTTTATGGAGAAGGCACGTGCTGAAAAAAAGTGAAAGTAAACACGTTCTAATGGTGTTTCAATACGAAGGAATGGAACTAGAATTCACGTGTGAGGGGCCTTGCTCTGATAATTTGCGGTTTCTTATAAGTCTGGGGAGCATGTTTGCTCGCAGTACATTCCACATCTTGAGTGAGACCTTGCACTATTGAAGTTTGCGTCGGTGCATTCCAATATTGTTCAAGAAGTAATAATGATGATGTTGTACTTACTCCCGGCGAAAAAAAAAACAATCTTACGCACATTACATGAGCAATAATTTTCAGCTGCAAGAATGCGCGGTAGCCTGCACATATCAAATTGCATATGTTTGTAAGCAACTCATTCGCACTGCAAACAAATATTAATCGGGATGCCCTTCACAGACAAAGAAACGAGAAATATTGCAGTTATTCTATGCATGAGCTCTGCGTCGCCTGAAAGAAAGTTGGGAAGCGATACGCGGTAAGGGTTGTGTTTTCCGTGCGATATGCTTACTAACATTTCTTCCATAGTGCACGCTAAAGATCGCAGGGGTCTGCAGTGAGCAAAGAAAAGTACGTTGAAAGGCAGGCCAACTGCTCTATCAATTTTTTTGTGTGCAAGAGTTGCTAGCCGAATTCCTCTTTTGTTCACATATATACATCGGTCAAATTGGTTTTGTAAGAACACGCGCCTCGGAGAGCATCAAAATTTTTTGATTGGAGCCATTTCACCCCACCTCGCATTTTCAGTCATGCAATTTCACCTTTCAAGGCCTGGTATCCTTGCATACACAGTCCCCCTAGCCAGACCACGCAAGAAATCTCGGAGACGTATATCATATAAAACACCGCACTTTGTTAAAGTCGATCAACTCTCACTATCGCTACAACACAAGAAACGGAACTTTATAATTAACTGTAAACACGCCCAGCGGTTGTTAGTCCTTTTGCACCTTTTTGTGACATGCGCGATGAACACCCATTTTTACGTATGTTTGTTAACATGTGCGATAACCATTCAGTCATGAATGGGTATTTCCGGTGTGTGTATTTCTTTCCTTGTCCTACTTCTTTTTTTTTGCCTTGTAGGCTTCATTCCAACCTGCAGTTACAGTGCCCAGGGAAGTGTGTAGGTGTGGAAGCTGCGAGCGACGTGCAGTAGTCCAGTGAATGCATTTCATTTCACAAAATTGCGCCAATTTTCTTCTTGGTTTAACAGCGCCCACGGGACGAGGACGAAGGAAAGGAACTCTGTTTGGCGCTATTCAGTCAAGATAAACCCATGCTAAGTCACTCGAGTTTGCATTCTTGTGCGTTTATCTCTAAAGCACTCTTTAAAGATACCAGAATCGTACAATTTACATGTAAGCAGTGTCAAAAGACACTAATCCTTAATGAATTCACGACTTTATGGACAGTGCTTGCACCTTTTTGAGAACAAAGTTATACTGTTTTTCTTATATGCTGAAGGTAGACTGACCCAAAAGGATACTAATAATAAACTGACTCTTTTGAGCCGCTCAGCTGGTTGAACAGGGAGACACGTGCAAATCGTAGACAGACCATCCCAGCCAAACACTGAAGTTGGTGTGCGAATCACGCAGTAATATATTCAACCTTACCGAGTTCATTTGAGCTGAGAAGCGCTGGCATGGTGCAAACGGAAAGTTGAAGCGTGAGGCCCGCGCGCTCGTCGCCATGGCTGCTGCGGCATACCAAATTTTCCCATAAGCGATTGCGCGCCCGTTGGCGGCGCTAGTGTGCTTGAAAAGGTCTATTCGCAGCAAACCAACGCAGGAAATGATGAGTGAGGTGAAGCTCCCTTCTATTCATCCGTTCGAATCGTGCTCCAGTGTGATTGGAGTGAACGGACGGGTGAACAGACAGACATACCCACGGATGGACAGAGGGACAGACAGACGGACTGACACTTGTCACCAATTATCATTTACTCTGTGGATACAGTGTGAGTTTTTTTTTAATGCTGGGCAAATATTTGTCTCACGATGTTACGCTCCGGCGTCGGCGCTGTCCACACCCCCAATGCACACGATTGGCTCGTATCGTGCGCCGTCTCGTCTTCCCGAAACGCGGGTGGTGTGCATATAGGCGGCGGGGCGCGCGTACGGTACTCATTCAAGGGCGTCTCCTCTCCGTCCAGCACAACGATGGCACCAAGCAATAAAGACACTCTTTAACTGTACACTCACTCCCTTTGGTTCTCCCTCGTTCAATAAATAAGAATAATAAAGACAAAATACTAATTAAGCATTCTCAAGCAAGGTCCAATTACGCAGCATTCTCGTGCTAACCCCCTCTCCACTCTATGACGCATTTATTTGTATTCCCCCTGTGGGAAGATGCGAGCGCCCATTTTTTTCTTTCAAACGTAGACCTATAAAATTCGCTCCTAGCTCAGATTACTTGCTCACAGCATGTGGGCTCTTTTGTATCACCACACTAGTTGTACCTCGACTCATTATCAGAATCATGGCAACGTTGTATTTGAATAAGCCATCGAACTTTCCCCACACCGTTCATCTACTAGTTCCCTCTTCTTTTACTGTTCTCTTTACCTTTTATTTCTAGTTTTATTGTATGCTTATTACATGCGTATGCTATTCAGTTTTTACAATGACATATTATTGAGCGTATACATCAGCGCCAGTGTGGGTCACAGCTTTGTTTATTAGTCTCTTTAGTATGATGTGGCTTTTCAAGATGTGCCGAATGGAAATCATGAGTATGATCTCTTATATATTCGTCTTTTTAAGTGTGAATACACTTTATAAGCGACCACAAACCATCCACCGCCGTCGGCGGCGTCCGCAGTCTTCTCTCTATCTTTAAGAGAAAGAGGACTTGGCGGGCCGCATCGTGACGCTCTACCGAATAAGCCACGGACGCGACGCTGATATCGGTGTCAGTAACGCGCCTTATATCTTTAACGCCGCTGCGCGCGTGCCTCTCCCCCTTCGCTCGCTCCTCCACTCTCGCTCGCTGCAGCTGCGCGCGCACCCCTCTCTCTCGCGCGCCCGCCTTCTCTCTCAGTCTCCCGTCGAGAGCGGGTCGTGCGATGAATGTCCCGGAGGCAACGCTACCATCAACAACGAATGCAGTACAATCGAATGCCAGCACTGCACCTGTCGTTGGAGGTGACGGTACCGCGGTGGTTTCGCCGACGTTGGAAGACAAGGCGGCGCTGCGATGGGCTCGTGAGACCGAACGTAAGCGGGCAAAGCGTGCAGCGGATGCCGAACTGCGTGCTCGCGAGGCCCAGTGCAAGCGGGCGAAGCGTGCAGCGGATGCCGAACTGCGCGCTCGCGAGGCCGAGGACAAACGGGCGAAGCGTGCAGAGGATGCCGAAC